CTGGAATTTTGTTTTCAGTTAGGGTAAAATCAATTTTTCATTATCTTGACATTGATCTGCATCAGACACACACATGAATGAAGTCTGAGGGGTAGCCATGTTAGTCTGTAACTTTAAAAACAGTAGTCATGAGGCACCTTGGAGATCAACAAAAATATACAGTATGAGCTTTTGAGAGCAAAACCTACTTCAGAGTGTTGCCCACATTTTGTTTTCAGTTAGGGTAAAATCAATTTTTCATTATCTTGACATTGATCTGCATCAGACACACACATGAATGAAGTCTGAGGGGTAGCCATGTTAGTCTGTAACTTTAAAAACAGTAGTCATGAGGCACCTTGGAGATCAACAAAAATATACAGTATGAGCTTTTGAGAGCAAAACCTACTTCAGAGTGTTGCCCACGAGCGCATGAGATTGTGTTTTATGTTCTCTTAGTCTCTAAGGGTTCGTCTAGGAGGCATACCTGGGAGGTCAACAAATGCCTTTGATGTCGATCGTGTAGCGTCCAGACTACCGCGCTGAGCCGATGAACAGCTGATCGGCTCAGCATGGCAGCCATTTACATTCAAATGAAACGGCGATTATTTAAATCGCCGCTTCATTTTCCTATGCCGGGTAGTCTAATCTACATGCTTCTGTCGCCAGAGGCACGTAGTCTAGACGTACCCTAAGATGCCACAGGGCCACTTGTTAATCACATGAATGGTAGTTTCAGGTGCCTCATTCTTGGGCTGAGCTAGGTTTCTTCACTGGACTGCATTTCCCACAGTGCATTCTGATGTTCTCAGACCAAGAAAAACATCTGTAGAGTTGTACACTGGAGATGCAGCTCCAACAATTGGCATGTGGGTTCTAAGGCCAGGAAAGGGACCTATATGATGAGCTAGTCCAAGGGTTGTCAAACTGCACTGCAACCCCCTTCTAACAAAAATGTCCTTATTCCTTGAGGGGGAGACTGAAGCCAACCAGCTGTGGGGTCAAGTGAAATGCAGACACCTTTAGAACCATTAGCAAAACCAATCGTAAAACTGGTGAAATTGACATGTTTGGTTTCTTTCCTCCAATCAGGGAAGGAATTTTCCGGCAATGCTATCAAAGTTTCCTTCGCTACCCGGAGGGCGGACTTCAACCGTGGTGGTGGAAATGGCCGGGGTGGTAGAGGCCGTGGAGGTAATTAGAAATGTGTACTACTTATGGGGAAGGGTGCCCAATCCCAAGCAGGAAAGCGGCCCTTGTTTTTCAGGCTTTGGACACAGCCAGCTAAGCCTAGAAGTTATTGAAGTTATTGCCCAGCCGTATCTTTATACAGTTGATCGGGTCAAAAGACAACTATATTAGTAAGGTCTTCCCCCATCTGAAATGGAACCAATAGGGTATTCATGGTGTTCTCCCAGTTGACTACTCAGTCATAGCTCAGTATGCTCTTCCTTCACTGGTACATGATGGGTGCTGTTGCTGACACCTCAGATTTCCGGAGCTAGTAGCTGGGCCATAAGACTTTTATCTTCTGTGAGAATGCACAGAGGGACCCATCATATGTGCTTACCTGTTGTGTTGCAGATGTGCAATAGACATACGGGTCAGACATGATTTTTTTATCTGTATTTTCTGTGGTGTAATCTTGCCAGTGGCAGTGCATGCTGGGAAAATCTGCCTGGGCATGTGCACATATAGGGGCAATGCATTCTGGGATCCCTTGCTGCACAGAGTTGGCTGGCCAGTGGGTAAGCAGTTTTAGGGGGAATGGCAGAGTGAAATAAGTCGTCGTCAGTGTGTAGGAAATGAAGCAGAAGCCGTTCTCCAGAGATGACAGCTGATGGTCTAGACGGTATGTGAGAGCAGGGGACTGGACTTGATGACTTTTCAAGGTCCCTTTCAATTTTGATCTAGGATTCTATGAATCCAGCTCTTCAGTGCTGTTGTGGTGAGGCAGGGAGCAGAAAGATCAACACTAGTAGCCATGTCCTTTCCAGGGAGGCTGATTCCTTTCATACCTCTCCTTGTCCTTTCGCAGGGCCCATGGGTCGTGTTGGATTTGGAGGTGGTGGAGGTGGCGGTGGCAACAGTGGCCCTGGTGGAGGTAACCGGGGTGGCTTCCCTAGCGGTGGAGGTGGCCAGCAGCGTGCAGGGGACTGGAAGTGTCCTAACCCGTAAGTAGGGGCTCTGATGGCAAGTGGAGAAAGAAGCAGGGTCTCCTGGGTTTCCCTGACATTAATGCATCATCTTAAAATTGCATCTTCCAGGGCCTGTGAGAACATGAATTTTTCATGGCGTAATGAGTGCAACCAGTGCAAAGCGCCAAAGCCAGAGGGACCTGGAGGACCACACATGGGTAACTTACATGACTGCTTGTCTCCTGCCCACCAGTGGAGCAGGGCAGCACTACTGCCAGGGAGGCATTCTTGGCACCACTCACTCCTGTGCTCATTTGTCCCTCTGCAGGAGGAGGAGGAGGAGGAGGATTTGGGGAAGAGCGCCGGGGAGGCCGAGGTGGCTACGACCGTGGCGGCTTCCGGGGAGGCCGAGGTGGTGATCGGGGTGGCTTCCGAGGAGGCCGAGGTGGAGATCGGGGCGGTGGATTTGGGCCAGGAAAGATGGATAACAGGTAAAGCAGACTGGCACGAAGTGACTTGAGGGCTAGAGGTAAATTCAGACTAGAGAAGGACACACGCTTGTTCTGTTTAAATTGTGAAAGTAACAACTGGTAAATGAGTCTCCATTTGGATCTTTTAACAAAGCCTGTGGGCCTCAAAGCTTTGCCACAAATCGCTGGCTGAGTGGTCAGACAAGAGAATCATAAACGGCCCTTTCTGAGCTTGCTGTAGATGAAAGGGGAAAGTCCCTTCCCTGCCTCAGTTTCCTGTTGGTAAAATAGGAAAAATGCTGCAGCATCTAAAACCATTCTGACTTGTTACAATCACTTGGCTGCTTGAGGGAAGCTTAAAATTTCCCCTTACTGTGCTGCACCTACTGGTTGCTTCTATTCCTAACACTTGTCTCTTTCCACAGGGGTGACCATAGACAAGACCGCCGTGACAGACCCTATTAAGATTGTACAAATTCCCAGACTGTGACTTTTTTATTTTGTATGTCAGACTTCGTACCGCAGCCCGTGTAAAACTTGTTCCATTTGTGTCAACTTTGTATTTCCCTCAATTTTACCTGTTTCTCCCCCTTGTATTGAAATAATCCCTTACATTAAAAACCCCCTTGTTTTAGTTGCCATGTGTAGCTTTCTTTGGGGCCAGGGCTTCAATAAAGGCAACTAGTGTATACCGGACAGCTTGGGCTGAGTGTTCTGCAATGCCCCAACTTTAGCCATGAGAGTTAAATATACATAGATGTGTTCAGTTACGAACAGGATTAACATGTTATCAAGCAAACGAGTGCAGAAAGGTGATCTTGATCTGTGGTTTAAATGTAAAGCTCCTTAATTTACACTTATGTGCATTTACATTTGCGTGTTCTCATCTTTATTGCATGAAGCACCATCCTCCAACATAGGCGTGTTTAGCTTATAGAGACATTGTCCATGTATGACTTCTCGTATTGGTGTCTACATAGGAAGTTTTCTTGAAAGTATTTTTGGGAAGTGTGGCAGGGATGGATGGAAAAAGCTTGCTTGAGGGTTTTTGCTATGCCATTGGAAGCATGGTAGCTGCACAATGAAAAGCTGTATTCTATGAAAGGTCAAATAGTATGTAAATATTTATCATGCAACCTCCAGGGTTATGTACACATTTGCACAAGGTGCCAATTCTCCATGAAAGTGTTAAACACGTTCAACAGAAAGGTCTATTCATGCATAATTGAAATACAGAATTGCATTGGTGAAACTGACAAGTTTTGTTAGCTTGCAAAATTGTATACTGGGTCTTGAGGTACAAGAATTTTTTCTTTATTAGCAACTTGTTGCTCCAAATTCACCCTAATGCAGTGATCTGCTGCATACCTAGGAAAATAAACATTTTTGTTGAATAAATTCATAGCTAAACCCATGGAAGCAAAGAGGTGACCAGTAAGTACAGCTTGCTAGGGGTGTTCGTCAGTGATAGCATTATCTACCTGCATATAAATTGGCATGGAAAAAGGTGGACATGGATCTCTGCTGGGCTGGTAAATGTCTCAGGGGCAGTGCTGTTGAAGTGAGCAAGTAGACAAGTCAGTCCTACAGTTGGAGCTGCAGTGTGTATGAATGTAATGAAGTTTGACTTTTCAATGTGCTGAATAAAGAACCCCACAGGTTACGATCCCTGCTCAGCTGTGTTCCTTGATTTAGCAGTGTTGCACTTAGAGCCTTATTCACAAAGCATCTATCTTATGCTCGGCCATGAGGATTCAAGGTGTAGGATATAATGAGCTGTGACACACAAAAAGCTTGGCTCTGCTGTGAAACAACTACACACAACCACGAGGCTGTGTAAAAAAGGCCTTGGCATGAACAGGTGAAAAAGTAGGGGTGTAGTCTTGAAGGGTGTGACCCTTTGGACAGGAGCTCTACACAGTTCATCTGTGCCATCTGCTTGTGTGGAGCCAGGAAGAGACATCACAAGAATGGTTTGGGGCTGGTCCTGGTGCAAAAGCCCTGCAATCTGTTAATGAGGCTTGTTCTTACTGATGCTTTTTGGGACAGGACTGACATCCTCGTGTGCCTGGCCTCAGTGTACTGGGGTGCACCAGTTGGGGCTGTGGCATGTCATTGGGCAGCTTGGCAAGCCTGGGTCAATAAAGGTCTCTTTCCAGACATGCTATGGAGAGCGTGGCTTAGGTGTGTCTAGGCAGGGGACTGCACATAAGCTTCAGCTATTTACTTGAGCTACTTTTGGGTATGGGGAAGTATTTGCCTCCAGGCCTGCTGGCAAAGGGAGCAATTGCCCTGGGCTCCTTGGATCCCTGCTTTTGCAGGTGCCTTTAAATCCTCACTGGAGTGTGGTAGATCTGAGAGCCTTCCTTGTACCTGTGCTGCTCTCCCAAAGGTTCTGGCCTTAGTCCTGCCCCTAAATGTTTTTAAAATCCCCTCTGGTGCATACAGCAAGTCACGCGGCCCAGCTGCCAGCCACAGGGACTCTGAAATTGCAGAATGATGAGCAGGTACGTGACCTGTGGCCTGATTCGGCTGCTACCCGCAGGCTGGGTTGCGAGGGGGCCCTTGTGTGGGGGTTTCCCAGTCCCTAAACCCCGCTAGCAAGAGCTGTGCAGAGAAATCTCAAAACAGATCTTGTGATTGGGAGACCAGGGGCATTAGACCAGTCCCTATGTCTCAGGACCCTGCATCCCCTTTATTTTGGGGCTGCCTGCCCTGCTTCAGCCCAGTGGGGGGCCAGGCGGGGAAGCACCATGGCTGGTTGGACTGGAGCTGAGGCTGTGCCAGGTTGGTTGGACCCTTTATCCCAGTGCTGCCAATCCCTGGCACCAGGGGGTGCCAGAGTTGACCTCAACAGGGAGCTTTTACTGAGGCCTCACCCATGCTGTGCTTGAGAGATCTCTACCTGCCCCCACGCTGGGACAGGACAACGGGATGGGTCGCCCAAAATGAGCCGGTTCTGCTCATTCCCTTGCAAGCACTGGGCGCTGGCCAGGCACCGGGCTGGCTGGACCTTGGTCTGACCAGCGCAGCCCTTCTTGTGGATGATGGTTGCAAAGAACTGCAGGGTTGGGGCAGGTGAGGGGACCGGAGAGAGGGACGTGGCACAGGCCCTGTGAGCTAGTGAGAGGGCACTAGGGTCGAAGTGCTCTGGCAGCGACTGGTGCCCCCAAGAGGGCCATTCCTTGAATTCACTGATGAGGCCTGTGCCAACTCCTGCCAAGGGAAGTTGACTCCACAGCCTCTACGCACCTGGAGCCCGCTGGAGGCCTGCAAGGTGGCAAAGAATCTAATACGCCTTACCACGCGGTTCTCCCCTCCTCGGCGAGAGATCTCCAACACCGGCAGTGCCTGCATGCCCACAGGTGCAAGCCAGGGGCCCCCCTGCCATGATGCCCATCCCCCACAAAAGCCTGTGGCCCGGCAGAACAGCCGTTTGCCAATCTCCCATCGCTCGGCACCCCATGGTGGTTAGAGTCCAAGACCCCAGGATCAGAGTCAGTCCTACCGATGCGCAGGAGCTTCACCAGGCGAGCACCATCTAGACGTGAGCACAGTCAGCCCCGATGCAGTGGCTCTGCTGGAGCCTCTGGCATTCCACAAGCCCAAGTTGGGTTTCAGGGAGCTTGGGCAGTGGCAGGTGGAAACCTCAAATCCTTCTGCTGAGGTGTCTGGTGAGAGGTCACCATGGCCAAGTGCCTGCTACTCACCCCCTCCTCCCTATTGCCGCCATTCTTCCCTGCCTGAACCTCCCCCACCATTAGGTTTCATATTTCCGCTCAAGTGCCCCTAGTACGCCCGGAACACACCTCTCCACACGCACACACGACCCGCCTACCCTGTCCCTGCACCCACCCGCCTCAGAGCGGCAGCTCTGGTGGGTTTCAGGCTGCAGCGGTTGTGAGCAAAAACCCTGGAGCTGGATTGGATTTTAGGAAGCACGGCTTGGGGCCTTGTTCTCTGCCCTTGCTCGCAAGGAGCAGCTGACAGCTGGTGGAGGGAAGTGTCATTCGGCTTGAGACTTTAAAGTTCACCTTCATTTTCAGCGTTAACTTTGCTATTCAGATGAGCGGGGTCACTTCCGGTGGAGTAATTGGCTCAGGCTCGCTGCAGACTCAGGCATCTGCTGCAACAATGGTGACACTGACCTGTTTGAAGCACAAATGAAGAATGTCAGCGACCTGCTTTCGGTGATCAATGAACGGGGAGGCCAGGAGAGTGGGGGGGGAGGGTGCCGTGTGCTTTCTGTGCTCATAGACTTGCTGGCCAAAAGGGACCATCATGCTTGTCTCGTCTGACTTCCTGCATCTTGCAGGCCACCAAACCTCCCCCACTCCACTCCTGAGAGACCCAGAACCCCCCAGTGAGTTACTGAAGCCCTCAAGTCGTGGCTTAAAATGGGTGGGCAATAATTTTTGATGGGGCTGGCACGCCAAGATTTTGGAAAGTGGGTCAGGGATGGAGGTTGTGACCTAGGGCAGGGGACTGGGGTGTAGGGTTGAGGGGGGGTATCGGTGCAGGAGAGGATTCTTGCTTGGGGGAGGGAAGTAGGAGGAGGTGCAGGATCTGGGAGGGAGTTGTGACCTGGGGGAGAGGAGGTGCAGAGGGTGGTGGCCTGGGAGTGGGAGGGGCTGGGATGCCAGAGGCAGGCTTTGCCAGGAAGTACTTACCTAGGTGGCTCCCAGCCAGCAGCCCTGCAGGATCCCAAGGCAGGCTCCTTGCCTGCCCAGCTCCAGGCTGCTCAAAATGACTGGCTGCTCCCTTAGAGGGAGTTTGCGCACTGCCCCTGCCTCCCGCACAATCTCTCAGCCAATAGGTTCCCAGCCAATAGGAGCTGAGAGATGGTGCTGGGGGAGGGGCAGAGTGCAAAGCCTTTTCCCCCCCCCTCCCGCTCAGCGCTGGGAACAGAAAGCGGCAGGGAGCAGCCAGCCCCTTAAAGCAGCATGGGACTGCTCTGTGCCTGAGGGTGCTGGCATGTCGGCCCTAGGGCCAGGGCCAGCAGCTTGGCGGGCCGGATCCAGCCCGTGGGCCATATCTTGCCTGTGCTTGGCTTCACATTGCAGAGACCACCATTTGCACAAGCTCAAACCTGCAAGCGACCGGAGCCCCCTGCTGCAAAATCCCCCAGGGTCTCTGCCAGTCCGAGCTGGGAGGGAATAAACTGGGTGTGTAGCTTGATAGCCCAAGGCTCTGGAGCGGGCGGCTTTCCCCACCAGGGGGCGATGGCTCCATTCCGGCTCTGGGGGGAGGGGAGGGACTGTCTGGCCGCGGGGAGGGCGAATGAAAAACGGGGCCTCGTCCAGCCAAGCTACTAATTTTGAGGAGACGCCGTATTTTAAACCTGCTTCCACCTGCCACCGGCTGCCTCCGAGCCAGGCAAGTCATTCCCATGAGGCAGGGCTGCCTGCTGGCCCCAGCTATCTCACCCTGGAGGCAACTGCTTAAGCCGCCGGCCTTGTTCACCCTTCAATTACAAGCCCCAGGGACGTGCTGCTGTGGGGTAATCGCACACTTCCTGCTGTGGGGAATCCACACCCCGTCACCGAGGACTCACCCGGATCTAGCCCGGCTATTTATGCAAGGTGCCTCGTTAGCTGCCTGCACGTTAACCCTGGCAAGCAGGCCACTTGCTCATCCCTCAGCTGTCCCCTAGTGACTAAGGGACAAGTCACGGGGCATTGACGCAGGGCAGGTGACTGGGGTGGATGGGACGTGAGGGCTGGCAGATGTGGGCTTGGCCAGCCCCAGAGCTGGCTGCTTCGGAGCGCCTGGTGGACCCTCCCTGTGTGGTGCTGCAGTGCAGCTGTGACCCAGAGGCCCCTCCCCAGAAGTTGCTGCATCTCCATATGGCGTGAACCAGCCCTGTTCAGCAGCCGTAACAGCAACACTGGCAGCATCCTC